GATTATGAGGCAAAGTATTATATAGGGTAGAAAAATCATTACTTTGAACAGATTCGAAATCACCAATATAAGCATGCAATTTATCAAGTACTTCCAACGAATTTTTGACACTTCAAAAGTAATTAATTCCACTATTTTTTTTAAAAGGCCTTATTTAAACAATTTATTACCAGGTTTTACATTGTACCAAGTGTACTAGTAAGAAGAATAGATAGTTTAGTAGTGGAACAATGGCTTGAAGACGAAACAAATCTATATTTGTAAGGAGTTTTGTGCAGCTTCGGAAGCCAGTACATAGTTGGAACTTTCATTGTATTTGCTTCGGTTTGTAAAGAGGTAGCTCAAAGTTTATGTTTGTTACAGATGTCATTTTTCGAAAATGGAGTCAGTTGTAATGTTGGTGAATTCGTGATTTTTCTTTTTCAGAACCTCAATGTAAAATTTACGTCAAACAATAATGATATTGTTAGCAGCCTTATCAGCCGGGACAAAAACAAATTCCTAGGCAAGTTCTTTTAGCTTATGTTTAATACGAGAAATAGGGCTCTTATGGTTGTTGTTATGAGTAAAATGTCCTTTAAAATGTTGAATACATATATCAACTATGTTCATTATCGAATTAAAAAAAGAATTTAATGATTTCTTGTCAGCTTTTCTCGTTTTATCCATTAAGAGCAGAAAGTACGGAGTGAGTCGTGGATGATGTTACGACACTCATTCCAATTAATAATTGACGGGGGACGATATTTAGGTCCTTTACTGAGGAATAATTTCAACTCTCGGTCACGAACGATGTTAATGTCTCCTTTTGTAACATGGGAACTGGGGCCATAACTGTATTCGGAATTACTGCAATTTTATGACGTAGGTGTATTGTCACTGATATTAACATCTTTACACACTTCGCTGTAATAAACACATATTTCCGGGTAGATTTTTTGTAAACATAACAAATAAGAGGGAGTTCAGTATTATCAAAATAGCCAGGAATTTGTTCTTTAGCAGAATGATCATTAAAAATACCGGCAATATTTACAAAATCAAAACCTTTATTGACATATTTAATTTTAATAAAATGTTTTTTTGTGATCTTCAGGGCGATCAATTTAGGGAAACAATTTAGAATAACAATATGCAATTATAATTTAGACGATTTCATTCTTAGGACTGCAATATGGAATTGTGTTGCATTCCTCCAAATTTGATGTAATTTATTAATAGGTAAAGAACAGAGCTTGGTTAATACATAATATCTACCGTTGTTTTTTTGAAATAGAAATTAGGTCCGAAATATTTGTATTGTTGGTACGAAATTTTCTTTGATTGCGATTTATTCTACACCCATGAGAACGGTTTTTACGAACTGGTTTAGAAATTATATCCAAATTATTAACATAATCTGTTCTTGATGTATCACCAATTCCCATGATATTGTCATTAAGACCGAGAGAATAGACTGTATGTAATTTTTTAATCCAATTTAATTCAATAATTTTCCGAGATCGTACAAATTTTGAATGAGATTCCCCAGGCTGCTTATTAGCTACTTTTAAAGGTTGAACTGTTAAATATTTAAAAGGATGATTGTGCTTCTTAATGTGTTGATAAATGATACTTTTGAATTTATGGGGTCTTTTAAAACGACAAAGGTGTTCTTGCGTGCGTTTAGATAAATATCGTCCAGTTTCACTTACGTACTGAATACCGCATCCCGGTTTGTTTCATGTGAGTAATTATATAATACTGTTAGTTTTTCAATTGATATCAGTTTCAAAATTTAAGGAAAATTTGCGACCTTTAATTAAACGTTGACCAAGTTGGTGAAAAGACGGGGACGTGTAAGTCATTTTTTGGCATGACACTTATATCTAGAAGGGTAACCACGAATTTTGTTACTAAAAATGTTACTGATTGTAGTATTTTTTTAGATAAGCAATTTTGAAGATTGAGACGTGTAAATACCCTTCGAACGAGTATTTTTCCATTTCGAAGTTTCATTATTTGTTTTTCTGTTATCCGTTTTTCCAATTGAAAGGAACAAAGAATAGCGTCCAGAATATGAACCAGGACACACGAATAGAACAAAGTAAAAAAAGATAAAACTGTTCGGCTAAAGACGTCAAACGTTATCCGTCATCAAGTACCCGACAAAATACGTTAACAACAAAACCTGAGGACAACAAACAAAAGACAGGGTATATCAGGGTAGCGCCTGACGTCTGACCCAATAACAGAATGGGGCTGAATAGCGTTTGTTCACGTTTTTTTAATTTGGTCCGGTAGTTTCAGAGAAGAAGGTTTTTTAGAGTTAATGGACGAAGAGCGCTTCTGTACTATCCAATTAAAATTATGATTTCAAATTAAACAGTATGTCACTTGGCTATTATTAAAGTACTGTTTTTACAGAATTTCTTTTTTCAGTGACATTATAATATATTCTTAAATATTTTTTTTAATTTTCCGTTTCTCTATAGAATATGTTCCAGTACTTACTAGTACTACAGTACTGTACTGTTGAACTAAAAACATAGACGTTGATAAAGAGCGTTAAAATCCTTATAAAGACACTAATATGAATCTGTGTCAAAATTATAATTTAAAATTTTAACCATCAAAGTATTTCAGAGGGATTTACATTGTTCAAACTTTTATTTTAATTTAACATCCATTGGTTAGATGTTAAAAATATTTAAAAAATAAAAAAATTAAAATGAGGCTAGAAGGACTATTAGCTTAATGTGAAAGTTTTGACGAGTGAAAAACATATATCCTCAAGATTATTTTTATCATGAAAGTAAAAAAATATTTTTGTCTTATCCGTAGTTTAACTGAATTTTCGCGGTCACGCAAGTGCAAGTTTTTATAAGTATGACAGGAGCTATGAATTTATCATAGAGAGACAATTTAAGTACCGTGCTCTCAATAAGTATAAACTGGCCTTCTTAGAATCCTTTTCACGACCACAGCGTATTTTGGTATTTAGTGTCTATAGTATCATCCATTGGTCTAATTGCTTGACCTTTCACCTTTTGTCTTATCAGATCTTCTTTGTTGCATTGCTTGGCAATTGAAAGTATGACACTTTTTATTTCTATTTTGTTTACAGAATAATCTGCACCTGAAATTTTCCCCTCTTGTGTTCTATGTAGTTTGTTCCTGTACTCAGGTAAGTCTTCGACGTCTCGTCTAACATCGCCGGTGCAAGTAGGAGCAAAGTTAACTAATAACATCTTAAAACTGTAAGGTCAAGACAGGCTGTTGTTAAGGAAAGTTTAGCAGAACTACAACAGAACTGTGATCTGGTGTTGAAATCATGACCTTCACTTTCGGTCCTGTTTTCTCAAACAAAATATCTAGTTGGCTTGTGTACAGTTCTCTTTGTGAAGGAGTATTACTCGGGGGTATTTCTTTAAATTAAAATTGTTTCCTAGGATACATTTCTTGAATTATATTTTATGTAATTTTTTATCATTAGATATTTTATGTTTATTATAATTACTGTTACACATGTTGTTTTTTTTAATTTAAATTATGAGTTGGATATTCTATATATTTTTGTGTCGGTTGGGGACCTATTTCTTGTTTAATAAGGTATATATAAATAAGAAGATGTAGTATGAGTGCCAATGAGACATGAGAAACTCTCCATCCAAGTCACTATGTATAAAAAGTTATACGTGAAAGTACGGCCTTCCACACGGATCCTTGGCTCACACCGAACAAGAGGCTATAAAGGGTCCAAAAATGACTAGTGTATTACAATTCAAACAAGAGTTAGGACAGGTGCATAAAAATATGTTTGTTTTTAACGTAACGTTTTGTCTACCGTCGTAGCTTGTCACAGTTCCAGAACGGTTAAGTCCACGTACTGATACTTTTATCTCAAAAAGGCAAATATTTGGAATTATATGAACTTGAAAGCAACCCAACGTAACCTTACGAAATAAATTAAAATAGATAACTAGAATGGAAAAAAAGAAATAACAAAAGTGTTTACAGTTGCAGTATAAACACATTTAGTTTTGGTCATTATAAAAAGAAAGAGAACCGATGGTGTCAAATTGACAATTTGTTTTACGACTAATGGTTTTGTATGCTTCATTTGGTCATTCTGAGTTATTTATAATTTTTGAATGCTGGGTACTTTTAAATATGACTCTTGGTGAAACCTGTCTCAATTGTGCAATCATACAACATCTCCTTATTTAGATATTGATATGAAAGTGTTCCTCGTGCGTGAAATGACAACAAAATTGTATGACTTTGTGTAGCTTTTGAAAATCTTCATTACTAGAAAGTAATCATAATCATCAACAGTATGGAAAGATAAAGAAAACTATGTCACACAATGAAATGAACTGAAAAAAATGTTCCAAGGTGAATTCTCAAAAACATTCTTGCTTTGATACCAGCTTTATCCACATAAGTCGACTTTTGATGGATAGTGGTTCCAGTGCCAATCATACTAAAATTGCTAAATGAGACCCATGGGTACCAAGTATACAGCACGGTCTTTCCTCGGGAATACATGAAACCAATCATAGAGTAGAAGCTTAAAAAAGTTCGTTTTACGTTTTTCTTCACTGACATTTAGTGTTCGACTTTTCATATTTTTTCTTTTTATATAAATCATTTGTTTTGAAGTTTTTATATTATACCCATTAAAAAACGTAAAATGCATGATTTCAAAATGTCAACTTGGTACGAAAGATTCTATTAACGTCTGACATCACATGTACTTTCTTTTAAATTTGCTTGAACAAGCCGAAGGAAACTTCAGTCATGTATTTCCATCCGAAAAAAAAATTATTAAGTTGGTATGGGTCCTTGCATTTCACAATGTTTGTAAAAACAGTACTTATTACGAAATCATGTCTGGAATCACAGTCGTTGGGTTGCTGTTTTATTGATATTAAATAGAAGCCCCAGATCTTTTTACTTATAGAGAAGATAGTTAATTAGATGCGACTTGAATAAAGGAAATAAGACCAACAAGAAACTGAAACATTATTCATTTATTCGTTATATATATAAGGTTATAAACACTCAATAGCAAGACAAGGATTTTTTTTCAATGTTGCATCGTAATAAGTTTTTTTAGGGATACAGTCAACATCACTTTTGGTTCCAAGTCGGTCGATTTTCACCATCTTAGTCTTGTCATTAAGATCTACTGGATCTAAGCGTACTGCATTTCCCGCCGACATGCCAGGACTCTCATCAAAGTAATTAAATGGTATCAAGAATGTACTGTGCGATTGACCCGGTGTGTGTGTGACAGGTATATCCTCTTTCTGTACAACATGATGCATACCCATTGTAACCCATGCAACAAGATCCTGTTAAACACATATCATTTAGAAAATCATATATTAATTCTCTCACGTTGCTTCCAAATTAGTTCCTTGACCACTAGTGTGTTTGAAAGAAGATTTGCATTGTGTAAATCTTCCGATAACTTGAAAGTTTCTTTTTTATACAAACGAAATTTTATTGTATTGCTGTTATTTACATATAAATGGCAGAACATTTGAATAACTAACACTAGAAAAGGTGAATGGTTAAATAATTATACAGTTCAATAGTTCTCCCTTTTTTATTATGTATAAATGTGTAAATTACAGCATTACATCAGAAATCAGAAATCTGCATGTTTTTTTCGTCCAGCTCCTATGAAATTCTGATATCTAGGGTTTATTTTTATCATTGTTGTGTGTGTTTTTTTTTTTTTTAATTATTGCTTCAGTACAGTACCAATGTTCGAACTTCGTAAATCGATTAAGATAAGAAAAATGAAGGTAACAAAAGAAAAAGATAGGGAATCGGATGTACTACAAATAGAGCGCTACATAACGTTGATATAAAAATCTGATCTGTACTCGAGGTCAGGTCAACATATGTTTAATGATTAATTGTTTGTTTGTTGTCTTTGATTCGTTTTACTAGGATTGTCAGTAAACTCATCATAAAAACCAGGGTTTAAAATTTGTACGCCGGACACACGTTTCGTCTACAAAAGACTCATCAAGTGACGCTCAAATCAAAAAAGTTAAAAAGGCCAAATAAAGTACGAAGTTGTAGAATATTGAGGACCCAAAAACCCTGAAAGTTTTGTCAAATGCAGCTAAGGTTATCAAAGGTAATCTATTCCTCAGTTCTTCTACCAAAGGTCGGTGGTTCTCTCCGGGCACTCCGGCTTCCTCCACCAATAAAAACTGTCTGCCACGAAATAGCACAATAGTGCTAAAAGTAGCTTTAAACACCAATTAATCAATCAATAAATCATTTGTTTCATTGTATGAATTGTGAATGTTCATGTCGTTACGATAAAAATTAAATCCATGAATAGTACTACTTCAGTTAACATGTTCCTATTCAAGAAAAGCGTTTATATTTTGTTGTTGAAAAGTTGAGACTGTTAACGGGAGGTAATTCTTTAGTCAAAGTTTTTTTTCTTAAAATTTTCGTCTGATGATTGAAAAAAGAGATACACTATGATTTGGATTAGTATTGTGAAAATAATTGTAAATTTTTGGATCTCGTTTCATCAAATTGTATGAATTTCAAGATTATATATACGTCACAAAAATACGTCACTGTTTGTAGTGTGCTGTACTGTTGTTAAAGGAAGATGTCCGTTGTTATTCTGCGTTTATCTGTGCTGAGTGTTCTTGCGTTTGTTTGTACTGTATTCCTGTCACGTAGTGTTGTCATTTTAGCGATATTTTTTAACATTGCCATACAAGCGGGAGTTTTGGCTAGCCATAAAACCATGTTCAGCCCTACATTTTTTTTTTAAAATGTCCTGTACAAAGTCAGGAATATGGCAGTTGTTATCAAATAGTCCGTTTCTATGAATGTTGGCGTTTGCTTTTGTTGTACATCAGTGTTTCTGTTGTTCCGATGTGTTTCACTCGGTTTTAGTTTGTAACCCGGATCTGTTTTCTCTCAATCGATTTATGACTTTTGAACAGCGGTATACTACTGTTGCCTTTATTTTACATGGGGACAACTATTCACAAGAGACCAAAAACGATTAAATAAACAAATATGTGGCACTGTACGGCCATTAACAATAAGCAACCCCTGTCTATTAAGCTATAAAGGGCACTGACAACTATGTAACAATTCAAAAGAGAAAACCCACGACCTGATTTATTTGTTATACAATAAAAGACTAAACAAATAGGATAGACAGCAACCAACAACAGTAAAACGAATAACAGACTTCTGACTTAGGAAATTCGGCAGGGGTGATTGCTTAATTCACCCGTTACCTAGGACAGTGGTGCAATATTACAAAATAAGAAGAAACTGTACAAATCAGTTAAAAGGGTTTAAATCATTAGAAATGCGTTAACGAAATAGAAAACTCCAACAGAATTACCAAAAGCATAAGATGCCGATCTAAGAGCACTTGAAGCTTGTTCTTAGCCAATTTAAATTTCAACTGAGTAATATACTGTGTTTGCCTAGACTAAAATATCCGTCAATCCACAACCAAAGGATGTATTCTAAAGGCGAAAACACAACCTAAGGAAAGGATTGCCCAAAGTTTTTTGGGTTGTTTTTTATTGCCAAGGTACACATTTTCCTCATTTAACCTAATACAAATTTCACTACAATTACTTTTCTCTCTATCGACAATCAAATCTAAGATATGATAAAGACGCTCGGTAAGGAAAGGGATACAGAATTTGAAACTTTCTCTGATTATATCGGGAAAATGGTGTACCTTATCTAAATTACATAAATGCAATATAAATTTATGATACAGGTATCAGTGGACACGAAATATGCTTCCTACCATCATTAACAATTTAAATTCGAAATAAATCAGCTTTCAAACATAAAAAATGAAATAGAACATCAACAACAGTGTGAGGGCAAGTGTTCCTGAGTATTGCAGTCCAATATATAGTATAATGTTCCGTCAAAATGCAAAATATACTCAATTAAACATATTTACCTCGTCTACAATCTTCTCATTGTCATCGATAAATTCTTGAAAAGTAAATACAGGATTATCTGAATGGGTATATACAGAGCTAGAGTATGGTTCACTGTCCTTGTATTTTGTGACTGCGACTTGGTACTGGGACCAGCTTACGGCTGGGTTGTTTCCGTCATTTGGCGGTCTGATCACCTTAGTCATACCTTTATTTAACAATTTGTATCCTGGTGAATTTCCGAATTTGTCCTTTTTATTATTGTTGACAAAGGTAAGCAACTTCGGATAATCGAAATTGAATTTGTAAGCCGCCTGAAGTTCCGTCTGTTTCAATCTTTTGATGAATCTGTTTTGAACAATTTTAGCCCCTCGATTTTTGTGGCATACGTTATCAACAACATCCGGTTCTATGTCGATGGTTTCGAATCTGTTACTTGTACCTTTAATATCAAGGTCCATTTTTAAATTAAACAGATGTTGGTGTAATGGCGACATTAAATTGTTATCAACTTGAAAACTGTACGGGTTGTCATGTTCATGCCATGAGCTTGTCACTATTCCTGTGGGTGTTATTTTTACTTCTATGACGCCATTTTGAAAAAAAATAAAATCTATGACATAATCATAAATGCCAATCGTAGGAATTGTTCTGACGATCAACGCCACATTTGTAACTCCTTCGTAAAATCGATGGAGATACTTAAAGTAACCGTTATGGCGACGGAGAGGCATCCCAGTATTGAACTCAAATATACAAAAAGCACGCTCATTAATCAAAGGTTTATCTTGTGTGTCAACTTTAAAAGAGGAACTTATAAAAGTTGCATCATTTGGACAATCAATACCAGGATGTAAATATTTTGCTAAAGCACCAATCTTCCAGGTAGTATCTAAGAAATTAAGTACATGTTCCTGTGGTTTATCTCCGGAATAAAAAGTGGCAAGTTCTTGAAGACTTATTTCATAAGCAATACGGTCACCTTTGTAGCGAATATCATTTAATCGTGGTCCGTAGAATACCGACATCCCAACATCAAACTCCCAGTACGTATATGAAACATGTCTGTCGTCGATATTGTATCGTATCCCGTCTGGAGATACTTGTGATGGGTCTTTAAGAGGGTTTTTAAAGGATGGTTTGCCTCTTGAATTTACAGTCCGATCACCTTTCTTATCGCTTGTTGGAAAAGGGACCTTAATGATATATGCCTTGTATGTATAGTAGTACGCAACTGTTTGTTCTAAGCTATTGAATAATGATCCATCAAACCAAATCTTGATTAAAGCATCGTTACCGTTATTATCTACTTCTCTGAGGACTGCAAAATCTAAGGGCCGTAACAAAAAATGTTCCGTGAATTGTTGCAACCAACTAAACCATAAACGTTTCCTGACACCAGACAGCGGAGTTGTCAGTTGACTATTGACATTGAAAGACAAGCATCGATCGCTACAATTAATTAAACGACCACCATATAATTCATAAAGCATTTTTCCTGCAACTTTATCAATTTTTTCAAGCAATGGCGTGATACTCAAATCAAAAACGTCAATAGGGCGATCAATAAATGGAATAGACTTCGGTCGGTAAGGAACATGACGATAACCAGTCGGGTTTGGCAAAGGACTTACAACTATTTCTATTACATCTGGAATGGAGAAGGCGCCTCGAAAAATCATCACACGGGCCTCCCGTGTAGGCTGAACACAACCTTTATTTAAATGCTTCAAAACGTCTCTTTTCGGTGGCAAAAATACTTCAGAAATGAAAATATAGTTCGTATTAATTGCTGCTTTATCTGCGATAGTAAGGTTTAAATTTGATCGGTTATAAAGGTAATCTAGCAGACCTTCTATTTCCTTTTTCGTTAAATCACGAAAAACAGATGGTTTAATATTTTCCCTCAGGTCCACATTACCATACAAACTGGATTTACGACTACACACTGGAATGTTTTTCTTGGCTGTAAAAAGAAAAGATGATAATGATAACGAAAAGTAACAATTTGAGGTCAATATTGGCTTTAATAGAGATGTAATTCAAACTGTCTGCTCTTTTTTTTCAGAATTCAAATTTTGAATCTATTTTCCTAAATAATACATGTATAATGTCCTGTTGGTATCTTTCGCCTGTCTTTTTATAGTAGTTTTAACAAAAATACTTCAACTCATGTGTTACACAATCATGAAATGTCAGACTATTAAGATTGTATTGCCTTTTGCTAGAAAGTACTTCCTTTCATTTATGAATTAATTTTGCCATATTACCATGACTGAACAAGATTTCGGTATTATTCTTAGATATCTTACATGAAGGCATCGCTCATTAAATATTTTACCGACGTGCTTATATATAGCTTTAGGTCTTAGATATTGATAATCTGTCATTATTAGTTATCATGTTTTGAAATCAATATGCTTTAAATCGAAGATACGTTACCAAAACTTCAGATATTTGATATTTCTAAATGATTTCTGAAAATATTAAAAAAAAATATAGGAAGCTACTTAATTTTATAGATGTATACAAATATACTTTAAATGCAAGGCAAATGTCCCCTGAATCAGTTTAACTCATGGCGTCAGAATTCAAAAGTTGATTTAGCAAATCATCAAAGATACCAGGGTTTTTGTCCTCCAGACGCGCGACTATCTTCAAAAGACTCATCAGCGAGGCTCGAATAAAAAAAGTTAAAAAGGTCAAATTATAAACATACAGTTTACCTATGGTTTTGTTTTGATTCAAAAAGTGGAAGAACATTGAGGACCCAAAATTCGATAAACATAACGTTTTGAATTTGAATATTAAAAAGGCTAAACAACATGCTGAAAGTATACTGTAATAATTTTTCTGTACATACATGAAAAAGTACCGTTGCTGTTCATGACAATTTTAATCAAATTTTACCAATTTTGCATTTATTTGAAAATTTTGATAATGAGATTTGATGTGGTTGACGTGGTTATTGGGGACATTTTTATGATATTCATTCAAAATCCCGACTCCATCCCTAGTTGTGTTTATCAATCTGTTGTTATACTTTCCTCGATTTATGGTTTTAATGCCCATTTTGCTGGGTGCGTAAGGAATTAACCTTCATCAGAAACAAACAAACCCGAGGATGTACATTTATTTGAATATATGAAGAGTTATATAACGAAAGGGATCTTAAACGAATAGCCAAATTCAAAACCTAAGTAGATAAGTCATCAAATCATTTTTTTTTTTAATTTCAGTAAGTATTATACATCAACAATTGAATAGGAAAAGCAACATTGATAGCAAAATCTAGCTATATTTGAAACATTTACAGAGGGAACAAATAGTATCAACAGTATCTTAAGGATTAAGTCATTTCAGGTTTAGGAATTTTTGTCAGATGTTCGGACTCCTTGGGTTTTTTTCCTACGATACAGGGTAAAATATGTTACCCCATATTACCCACTTTTCTTTTCATAGAAAACTTTATTAGCTCATAAAAAGTCATAATTAAAATTTAAGCAGATAATATTGCAAAAGAAACAACTTAAACTTGAAGGTCGTAAGTAAGGACATAAGTGTTTGTTTCAATTGTAAAATACTTGCCTGACTTGAGCATCCATTTGTAGAATATTTGATCACATTTCTCTCCATATGCCTGTAACAATATTAAGATCTGGCATTTTACATAAATATCCAAGGCAACATTATCTTGTTTTCGCTTTTTTTGTGTGTTGTTAATGTTTAAATACGACTGAAAATACTTTATTGTACGTTTTGCCCACGGAAAATGACTTAACATTTTGTTGCTTAAGTAGTCCGATACCTCATGAAATCTTGTAACATATATGAACATTTTGTTACTTTTTCTAACTGCTGTCTCGCTAACGTATACTTCTTTATATATATCTTCTTTTCATACATTAGGAAATGAGTTTCTCGACTTATGAAACTGATTTATAAAATTATGAAGTGGACGAAGTTTATTTTAGAACAAGAAATCAGTAACTTCTTAAAGTCTGTTAGTAAAACAAAATGCTGAATATGTTCACCTCACACGATAATCATTAAAATGTGCAAATTTTTGAAATTTTATAAGGTATCTGTGACTCTTGGGCAACTTTTATAGTAAAATGAATGGGGTTTATTGCAATTTCAATCGAAGTCTATCGAAAATTTCAAATCCAATATTAGATTGTTAAATATAAGTTACATCTCATATTATTCAATTTCTTTTTTTTTGTATGGTTATGTGTGTTTTGGTTTTTCTTGTGCTTAAACATATCTACTGAACCAACTTTTATCTAATCTTTTTTGTAGTTTATACTGACATATAAACGAGTTGTGTGTAATGGTAATGAAGTTTTAATTGTCATACGTTTACTTATACATTCTTCTTAATATTATTATGTATTCAAATCCATGTCTCTTTTTGTGTTTTGTTGGAATTTATACATAGTCGCTTAAGTGTTGTTTTATTCCTTATCGATAACAAAATCCTACAAAAGTTTATTCATGCACGACTTTGAATTATTTAACCTTTGATAATAAATGTAATGAAACGTAATGTCATGACATGTAACAAAATGCTACTTCTGAATAATTCTTATATGATTTGCATTTGAATTTTTCCTTTAGTATACACTTTGATAGATGATGTTGCCGAAACTTCTTTCGTAACGTATTCATGCGCGATACACATAAAATTGAGAATGGAAATGGGGAATGTGTCAAAGAGACAACAACCCGACCATAGAGCAGACAACAGCCGAAGGCCACCAATGTGTCTTCAATGCAGCGAGAAACTCCCGCATCCGGAGGCGTCGTCCTTCAGCTGGCCCCTAAACAAATATGTATACTAGTTCAGTGATAATGGACGTCATACCAAACTCCAAATTATACACAAGAAACTAAAATTTAAAATGACTACAAGACTAACAAAGGCCAGGGGCTCCTGACTTGGGACAGGCGCAAAATTGCGGCGGGGTTAAACATTGTTTTTGAGATCTCAACCCTCCCCCTATACCTCTAGCCAATGTAGACAAAACAAACGTACAACAGTACGCACAGTAAAACTCAGTTTAAGAGAAGTCCGAGTCTGATGTCAGAATAGGAAACAAAAGAAAATAAACAAAATGACAATAGTACATAAATAACAACAGACTACTAGCAGTTACTGACATGCCAGCTCCAGACCTCAATTAAACTGATTGAAAGATTATGTCTTCATCATATGAATATCAGGCACAATCCCTCCTGTTAGGTGTTTAGTATTATACCATCATAAAATATATGAGAAGAACATAACCCGTGGCATGCCAACAACTGGTTTTTAAATAAATGTGTTTAATTCCGATGCAAAGACCCTATAAGTGAATCAATATTAAAGCCAAAATATGCAATCTTTAATGACCTGACAACAGTATCTTAACTATATCCCTTCTTAATAAGTTTGTTTAAAGGTTTTGTTAGCTTTTGAGGTGAATACTAGTACTGACATTTTTGTGCTTTGAAAAGAATATTACCATAAAAGATTGGATGTGAAATACCCGAAAGTATAAGATGTCTGCATGTTGAGTTATATTTACGAATGATGTCCTTATACCGATGATAAAATTTAGTAAATGTTTTGACTAGTTTATGATATCGAAAACCCTGGTGTAATAATTTTTCAGTAATACATAAATTTCTCTCGCTAAAATCTAACACGTTGTTACATACACGAGCGAATCGTACAAGTTGAGATATATAAACACCATAAGATGGTGACAAGGGAACGTCACCATCTAAAAATGGACAATTAACGATAGGAAATGAAAAATCATCTCTTTTTTATCATAAATGTTTGTATTAAGCTTCCCGTTAATGATATAGATATCAAGATCGAGGAAAGGACAGTGGTCATTGTTAGTATAAACTTTATTTAAAGTAAGTTCAACAGGATAAATTTCTTTAGTATACACAATGAAGTCGTCATTATTGAGAGCCAATATATCATCCAAATATCTAAAAGTTTTGTTGCATGAATGGGATCCTGGGGTTCTAAGAAATTGAGATATGAAAACAAAATCACAACATAACTTGTATTCCTGTTCTAATGCATCACAAATAGAAACAATGCATTAGAGCTTTGGAAAATGTACAGAATTATTATAAAATAAAATTACGCGAAATTCCATGAATGATCTTGGTGCATTAAGTCATGGCATAACATGACGTCATACGACTGAAAACTCTTAAGCTGAAGATTATTCCGTTACTTGTAGGTTTCAAATTTGGATGTATCCCATTAGCCTGGAGTTTTTGAGGTAATTGTTGTTTCATTTAAGATTTTATTTAATTAATCGAACATTTATAACGTCCAGTCATGTTCCCTTGGTATACACTTTGATAGACGATGTTGCCGAGACTTCTTTCGTAACCTATTCATGCGCAATGCACATGCATGAATGAGATCCTGAGGTTCTAAGAAATTGAGACATGAAAACAAAATCAAAACATAACTTTTATTCCTGTTCTAATGCATCGCAAATAGAAACAATACATTAGAGCTTTGGAAAATGTATAGAATTATTTAAGAATTGAATGCTTCTTTTTGTAATTTCATTGGGGTGTAAAAGCGTTGACCGAAGTACATTTTGTATGAAGCGCGGAAGCGCTTCATTCTAAAAATGTGCGCACGGTCAACGCTTTTACAACCCTATGAAGTTACAAAAAGAAGCATTCAATACTTATAATTACATTTTTTAGCTAGGATCATGAAAACACGATTTTTATCAGGTTTTTATTTAATTTACCTGTGCACTTTATTGTGAGACCTCGTGTCATCATGAATGATAAATTTCATTGTGTAATGAAGTTGATTAAGGAATAACGCGAGATTGCAGTTAGCCAATCAGAATAACGTATTATAATGAAACAAACATCTAATGTAATTATTATAAAATAAAATTACGTGAAATTTCATGAATGATCTTGGTGCATTAAGCCATGACATAACATGACGTCATACGACTGAAAACTCTCAAGCTGAAGATTATTCCGTTACTTGTAGGTTTCAAATTCGGATGTATCCCATTAAACTAGAGTTTTTGAGGTAATTGTTGTTTCATTTAAGATTTTATTGAATTAATCGAACATCTATAACGTCCAGTCAGTCAAAATGGCGGCTTACTCCTTAGTTAAGACATGTCAACTGTGGATTTGACGGTAAATAATTTCCAATGAAAGTACAATGTTCATCAAAAGTTGGAAATGTTTGGGTTAAGAATTATTCAGTTTGTGAGTTAATCGCCCCAGTTTATACACACCAATAACCTGTAGAAAAAATGTGCTGAATCCTAGAATACAATTTTCTTAATTAATGAAAAATGAGACAAAGTATTCTGGTTGGTATGAGTAATCTTAATTTTATACCAAAGGCGTATTGCGGGATGTTCCTACTGTATCTTCTAATTCTTATTAATGCGTTTTACAAAGAAATTGTCAGCAAACATAATTATTTGCAATACATACTGCAATCTATAATTGTCATACAAAAATATAAGAAACCAACCATTATAAAATGTGTTAAATTTTAGCAACATTTCTAAAAGGAAATGTCTAATCAATAGTTTTCAATTTAACATAAATCAAATATTTTTTTCTACATTTTTTAAATTTCAGTTGACGTTACTGGCCACAATTGCGTCTTCAATTTGTGACGTTTATACCTCAAACTTTTTTACTATATTTTGTTGTATTTTTTAATAAATAGACAATGAAAGTGTATTTACTTGACATAACAAATAGAATAAGGCCTAGGAACGGGGAAAATATAAGGTTGCCGAGCACCTTCTCCGTTTAGTATTGAATTCTTATATCGTGATTATGTCCAAGTCCAGTTTTATACCAATTCAGTTATTATAATTTTGTTAAAATTTTGGTTATTTCTTCTTTAATATTCAAAATTGCTTTTGAAGGTTCACACTTTGACAGGCCTCTACTTTAGCGAAGTAAAATTGTTACGTTTTAAAATGGATGTTGTTGTCATAAGTCAAGTGAATGATTGCGGCCAATCAAAATATGAAATATAAAAAAATAAAGCAATGACCGTTATGATTTATATAAAATCTTTCAACAAATGAAAAAAAGAAAAATATTTTTAATTCCTTTTTCGTAAGAGAAATGTATTTATGCCAACCTCGAGGCAATTCTTAAATTACATTACAAATTTAAAATTTCAGTCACACTGGTAGTCGTGGTTGAAGGCTTTATACGGTCAGGGTCGGTATATCACATACAATTATACAGTCAACGCATTGTGATGCTTAAAAAGAATAATATCAATGGGACAATCAAAATAATTACAAATCGAGGGAGGGCGGGTATTACTTTTGCAAAAGGAAAAGACAAAAAGACAAAAGAAGTCCACTACACAGAAAACTAAAGTTTGAACAAAACAAAAGTCAACCAAAACTCAAGGATGCATTAAGTTGCTCCGGAAGTTTGTTCCATTAGTCATCTCCATTGTGTTTGCTCTTATTAATCTCTAAACGTTATATGGTACGTGTAATGAAATCAATATTATCAATATCGCAACAGCTTCAGTTATATTTGGATCCTTTTGATTTTTGATGCCCGAAATTTTTACAGCTTTCCAAATTTGTGGAAATTTGATTGATGGAAGAAATTTTGAAAATAATAGTTGATCTTACCCGTTTGATTGTAAGTATGTAAAGTTTTTAATCAAATACAAAAAACTATTAAAAATATTTATAAAACTATACAATATAAGCACATCTGTTTTCATTTTAATTTGCAATTTTCAGTTATTTTATTCACCTTTTGTAAAAAAAAATCACATTTCTTTTCCTGCAAAATAATTATTATAAACTTACCTTAATGGTATGTGTTCGTAGTTTATAAGGAAAACAATTTTTTTTTATACTGTTTTTAATTTTGCAAGTTGCTGCCCCTTTTTGGGTTCATTTTGGTATTATATCATTGTTGAATTATTTAACCCTTGTCGACCATTATATTGTAATGATACAATGTAAAATTATCGTGTGCTCTTCTCAAAAACACAGTGTCTTTGAAGCAACGTTTGAAGTACATTTAATGACAATTTCTCCTTATTTTTAAACAAAATGAAGCTGAGTCCATTGTTCTATGCTATATACTTTAGACTTTGGTAGACTGGTTCTCTCTTTTGCCAGATACGTGTACCTAAGTTATCTAAAGAAAAGAGACAGGGAACCAGTATAATAACCTTAGGTGTCTCACAATGACGATATTGCAGGATTTCCCTCTTTAATCCTGCATACTTATTCCTTATCTTGAGTTTGAAATAACAAACATAATATATCCTTACATTATTCCATTTTGGCTTGACGCACAATATACTAGGAATCCATAATACCAAAAATATTAACTTGATCATCCTCAGTAACAAATGCAGGTTATATCAGTACATTAAAATCAAATTTGCTATTTCTTAAAATCTTCCACATCGATAAAGAGTTCGAACAAAATTAATGCAAATAATTTTTCATTTTTTAGCAGATTTTGTTGCATTTTTGTTAATGTAAATATGTTTCTCATTTGTTTGATTTGATGTATAAATCATATTATTCATACATTCAAAATTATGATTGATCTGTCAGATTATACTTGCTAAACATATAAAATAAGGGAAAGGAAAAACCATGTTACATAAAAGTATCAAATGACAAGTAAGCAAAATAGAAAAATGATTTGTTTTGATAGACGAATTACATCATTAAAAGGAACTTTGATAAGTTTAAAAGAAAAACTATTATAAATCATATTCGTGTAGGTGAGTACGACGTGATGTACAACACACGAAGAATATCTAATTAAATCTAGCTAGTTATGTCCTGTTTTATTCCTCTACACACAAGAGTTGTATTTCCCAATAACCTTTTGACCACGATGGATGTATAAATTAATTAATCTGCAATAACATGGTTTGTGTAGTGGAGCATAAATCCTTCAATATGATAAGAAATAGTTATCAGATATTACCACAGAAACAAAAAGAACAGTAAATCAATGTTGTCAGAACATGATACCATCATAGATGGTGAAAAGTTTCCTTAGTTTATTTCGTAGTTTGTACATTACAAAACGTTTGTCGTGGGTCACTTTAAAACAGCTTCCCTTAAATTGATCCTCTTTGATAATCCGAGACGACTCTTTGATTCATTCATTTCAAAATAAAATCGAAACTTACAAAATTATCTAACAACGATTTTTCTTTTTTTTCTAATTAAATATTCTGCTGATATTACATTTAATAAAACAATTTAATATTTATGCCCCACTTACGAATGTTTTTAGGTCTGTGCGTCCGTTCGTCCGTTCGTCCGTCTGTCCCATTTCAGGTTAAAGTTTTTGGTCAAGGTCTTTTTTGATTAAGTTGAAGTCCAATCAACTTGAAACTACGTACACATGTTCCGTATGCTATGATCTTTCTAATTTTAATGCCAAATTAGAGTTTTGACTCCAATTTCACGGTCCACTGAACATAGAAAACGATAGTGCTAGTGGGGCATCCGTGTACACATTCTTGTTTAAATGTATTTCTGGTACACTTGTGACCATATGATGATATACAATGAATATATATAATGTTAATCCTGAAAAAAATCTTACTGAATCGTGAAATTTATTTCTGTTTGTTTTGATTCTCGACATTAACAATAAAATTTGATAAACACTATTACATGTATATGAACGTGATTAATGGATAAAATTTAACGTTATTTTATTCATTTGTATGGTTTGTTATGTGTCAATTACTGTTTTCCTTGGGGGTTGGTGGTCTTTTGGAGTGATCGATAACGTTCATGTGCGGCGTTTTGCAGCGGTTTTCGATGAGCAACTAACAAATAACCTCACTTGCATGTAATCTGAAACTTCGTCTCAACAGATTTTTATTAATGAATATACGTGGGTCAGTCACATGGTAATTGAATTATATCGTAATAGATTCATGAGACTTGAACATCGATAAACTGATGTTGCCTAATATTAAACATGTTCCTGATTTTCGTGAACGCCCACCCCAACTTAAGCTCATGTTGTTCACTTCAATGCAAATTTTACTCCATAATTAAATTAGTATATAACAATATATGTGTGAAATACTTTCCACTATTGTTGATATGTCATGTGTAAATCCCCCACCAACCACAAATTAGACATAAAACCACAACAATGCACTGGGGAAGACTGGAGATTTGCAAACTGTAATTTTTGCCATTTTGACACACTAAAATAAAGAATAAAACAGCAAATATAAATGAAAGACATTTTAATTCTATATTTTATGATTCAAGACTGCTTTGTTGTCATTATGTTACAGTTGATGATATTCAAATTTGTGAACTTGTACCTCGTATATTTTTGCTGCTGGATCCCAATTATTGTCACGTTAACCAATTATGTCTGTTTGTGTTGCTCAAAATTTTTTGTCAATATAACGGAACAAATAAAAACAACTGTCATATTAGTGGGAGGTTTAGATTGCTACAAAACCAGGTTTAACCAAGCATTTCTTCGGAATTTACCGAATATGTCATTCGTTCCGTTGATTGATATAATCGAGCGTTTGATTTTGTCAAGTTTTTTTAGCTTTTCCTTTTTTTTAATTTACCTTGGAGTTATTTCGGAATTTTTTTTTTTTCATCTTTTTTTTTTAGGTCAGGTTCCATTTTGCTACTGCTTATGTAGCTTGGTAAATACATTATCATTATGAAATGTTAAATTCCAGGACACAATAAGCAAAACTTGCCAGAGTTTCATAAAGCATCTTAACTCACATTGTCACATTTGTTTTCTTCAGATCCTTGAGTTTTGTCTTTAATATAAACATAATGGTAAGTAAATGTCATTTTTTTTATTCATTCTAAAAAAAATAAGGAGATAATTTTCAACACTCCATAAATTTTAGATGCTTTAAAAATTGATCCAAGGTTGAAGATTCACTGATTGTAGCCAGTCTTGCAATGGCTTAATATGTAAGCAAACTGGCTCACTAACATGACTAAAATTCTTTAAACGCATTCCTATAATTTTTATTCCTCTAATGATACAATTCCATGGAATAAGCACTAAAAAATGTGCATTCAATTTAATACATGATTTTGTAGATACAAAGGGATCAGTGTAGATAATTTACTATAAAGAAAAACGCAGCAAAATGAGACTCCTATAAATTTGATATACATTTAACCTGTGGTAGCTGAATGATTATTTTGATAAGCTTTACTTATATATATATGAATCATACCTGTCACTCATCTGAAGCTACAAAGGTGGAGATTACACATTGTTATATGTGTGACGACCTTTTTGTTATTCTAAAATTTCGTATTAAAAGAGAGCGAAAATTTTTAGAAAGGTTTGTTTTTAGGTTTATTTTATAACATTTCAGCACAAAGATACTGTAAATTCAGAAATTATTGCGTGCATTTGTTATTGCGATTTTGTCATTTAGGACTAAAATGCGATTTTCATTTTTGCGATATTGGGAAAAATCCTGTTTAATTCATATAAAAAAATTCAAAATGCGAGTTTAAATTATTGCGATTATAACCCTGTCGCATTTTTCGCAATAATAAAAACATCGCAACAATTTCTGAATTTACAGTATACAATCTAATTATCTACCAGGTATACTGGGATTAGATTTAGTAAGCTAGAACAACAATCTTAATGACCTGGATGTCAATTACTATACAATTAAGCATTAAACCGTGAAAATCATTCACAGAAAATACTATCATAACAACTTTTGTGATGAAGAGAGTCACAATATGGTGATTTTGTCAAAGAAAGACATTTTGACTTCCCTGGAAAGTGACCGATGAAAGGTGGGATTTCAAATTTTGAATGGAAAACGGAGTCGTCCACTAAAAACATATATAGTCGAGCCTGCCATTTTGTCAGTTTTTGTGCACTTCTCCTTTGAATCAACCTTCGAGTTCGATATTTTTGTTAATACTTTTTTCTACATCTGGTGTGTTGTCAGGTATGACAATGTGTAGAATATATATATAATCATTTAAATTTATCTTTTCGTTATTCAATATGATATTTTTGTGGGATTGGACTTTTGATTTTTCTTTCACATTATGTGACGGATGTACAACAGAAGATGCCGAATATGACAATATAAATAAGAAGATGTTGTATGAGTGCCAATGAGACAACTCTCCATCCAAGTCACTGGATTTCACTCTTTAGGGAGCTCATGGGATGAACATGTCTGCAAATCTATTTGTGTAAAGTTACCCTTGCATAAATATTATGTAATGAATCAGCATAAGTATATACCACTTTTAAGTCTAATTTTATTCATACTTTTGCATGTTTTGGACTCGAACCCCATTAATTATAAACCTTTATTACAAAAATAATATTTAATAAAATTGGACCTTTTTCGCTGAACTGGTGTTTTTGTTGCAAAATTCTAATATTTACACCTTTGCTTTGTGTGAAAACCTGAAAAAAAAATCTGTAACATTCGATTGATATAATCAGAAAATTCAGCTCCGTCAAATTTTATGGAGTTCTGTATTTATTTTCTCCCAGAATTGGGTAGTTGTATCTCAGCTGGACATTTTATCATTTCTTTCGGATATATTAGGAAATATTTTGCATCAAAGAAAAGGTAGAAATGAGACTATAAGCAAGCATTTCTAGCCGCCAGTGAAATTTGGTCTCAGTGGACCAGTGGAATAACCTGTCTGGCTGTCAGATTTTACATTGACCTGGTGACGGCAAGGTCTTCGAAGTGCAATGTTTTCAAGTCGGCTTTAAATAATGAGAAAGATCATGTTAATTGCGTACACCAATATAAGTTTTATTCTTTATAAGTATTTATACTAATATTATTACGTTAGGAGAAATTCTCACTATAGTAGGACATTTCCCAGATGAGTGGTCTTTAGAAGCCTGTGGCTCATTTTAGAGTACCTCAAAGTTCTGCTAAAAAATATGGTTTCGACGAAATGACATTGTTGCAGAAACAAGTTATATATATGTGTGTCACTGGTTGTAGAAAGGCGTAAAGCAGAAAAAATGAAAAATAGTTTTTCAGGACGTTATAATTGATCGACCATTTGATTTACGGAGGGAGGGTATTACGTACATGGGGGACATATACTTGCCTCCCCATGGCGCTAACTTTATATATGCTTGAGAGCAACTAAAACTGGGAGACTGGAGAATTTGACCAGAAGACGAAGGTATGAAAGTGAAAGGAAAATTTGCTCTCGAAGTCCAGCCAAAAACAAATAGCTTCGGCGTTATGACGTTGCAGGAAGGGATCAAGCTTAAAAAGACCTTTCAAAAAGTCATATCGGAATTACCATTTAATTTTCGAGGGGGGGGGGGGGGGAGGGGGAGGGTGAAAATGAATATCCTATCCACTGAATTAGTTAGGCATGCGTAGCAACAGACGAAATAATCTCCTGGCCCCCCAAAATATGAAATAGTAATATTCTATGTATTTGTACTAGTGGCATTGAACACCCT